TGAGGAATAAATGGTTTGGTACAGAAGCACATTCATTCAGTAGACCATTTTGAATGGATTTATTTTGTTCAAAAGGCGCTACTTTTTGACCAAATGCAAGGGTTAGATAATTCTATTCAAACCCTCGAGAAAAACTTGTTTTCATTTTTAAGCTATGGACACACATTCCAACTAATATTGTTATTTGATTATCCATAAGAGTTCATGAATGGGTGTCCAGTTAACCACAGGGAGGGAAAAACAATGCCAAAAAGAAAGAGATATCCATATCTATACACATATCCAACACTTGTATGACAGAGGCTACCTCTTCACATAAGCCAATGAGCTAGCTAACAGAGGTAAAGAGTGACAAGTTGGATCCTGTTGAGGTATCATCGTTTTCTACACCAAGTATTATCTCTTCAGTGGACAATGGGCCAACATGTTATTTATCAGAGAAATATATTTTCACTTTTCTGTACCTAACATAAGCTAAAGCAGTTCGCATAGTTAGTGATTCAGCCATTTCTGTGGAGATACTAAATGCACCCACTGGACATGCGCGCCCACCGTGCATTTTGCGAACAGTCAGAACCAAGTAGACCTGAGGCACCATTACGGGGATTGGTCATTAATGGAATGGACTACTCAGAAGGGTTTAGCAAACTGCAGTTAGTAATCTAGCAAACACACAACAAAAGGGGTTGGGATGACCTTATTTGCAATGTTGTTTTGGTCAAGTCTACAGTCTGTGGAATTCCACTGAGATCTAAAATATTAATAAAGTGGCTCAAAAGGTTTTCAGAACTGTTATTTCATGTTTCATTTTGTGGCAACTTGTTTGTTGTAGTTTAATACAAGACAAGTAGCCAACATGAGCACATGAAACAGGTATGACTCATAAGCTCCTCAATGGTATTTGACTGAATTTGACTGAAGATTTGACCAAAAAATGCAACTTTTTGTTCTTCTAATAACAATACCCTGGCATTCAGCCACATTTCTTTGGTAGCATTAATGGCATTCTAGTCACCATATTGTTAGCTGTCTTATCTCAGAAGAACATATGTTTATTAGGGCTGTATTTTTGATCGATCAAAAGATATTTTACACACACACACACACACACACACATTTATATATATATATATATATATATATATATATATATATATGTAAAATGACATTTCTTTATTCCTGAATGTTGCTGAATAAAATATGAAACAATGGTAACACTTTATTTGGATGGTGCACTGTAGATGCTTTGTAAATGCTCAGTATATCTTAAAGTAACTTTCAACTAAATATCTATTGAATGCAACTGAACTTGAAGTTGAGTGTGAAAGATTCTATTAAATCTGTCTCTAAACCTAACCCTAATCCTTAACCTCAAGACAAAACCTATACCTACTCCTAAACCTAACACTAATCACAAGGTAGTTGATAACAACTGAGTATTACCAAAATATGTGTTAATGATTTAAGTATCTGTAGATCATCTATTAGGGATCATCCAAATAAACTGTGACCGAAATTTATACTCAGTAAGTTTGTTTTTTCCTGTGAAAAGTTTACTTACTGAGCTTTTAACAATGATTACAATGATCTAAAAGTTTTATTGTTAAAGATGCAATTAAACATGAAGTTACTGATAAATTATGAAACATAGCTTGTAGCATTTGCAAAATAATTTCTATTCTGTGCACCAAAATACTCCACCAACCCTCCACTGGTCTGGTTTCTAAGACCTCCGTATCATAGCAACTAAAAATAAAAGTGGCCAAGACACTCAAACACTTACAGAGAAATCCCAGACAATACGGACCAGGCAACAATGATGAGATACATGTTTGGTACATGCACCACTATGTGTTCCATATTTCTCATTAAATGTAAAAGCTTACCCTTCCTAAAAGACAAACAAGACTGTAATGGAGGCAAAGGGCAGAAACATTGAATCATGTTCAGCAAAGTCCTCAGAGGAAGAGTGATGATTCTAAAAAACTGCTTTTGTCTTGTGCCCTTAGGAAAAAAATGGGGTGCTGGTGGAAGGACAGTACTGTTATTCTGAGAGAGAAGGCCAGAAAGCAAATAGTTCAACACAAAACAAACAAACCTAGTTAAAAAAGCCTCCATGTCTGTTTTTTTTAATGTCCTGACATTGATCAATGTACTAAAGACAACACACCAACATGACCAATTACTATTGAAAGTGGGACTGCACAAAGTAACCAATGTCATCTTATTATCTTACACTTCATTGTCACAGTGCTCTTTAGAACAGGCAAAATTAATCAGTGCTTCTGGTTGATCAGCACTCTGTAGAAACCATCTTTTACAAACATACGATTTTCCTGGTCAAGCTTACAGACTGAGACAGCCATTTTATTCTACATTCAACATCAAAGTTTATAATCTTTACATATGAATGCAGATCAGACCTAGTTGATGCCAAGTCTGCTAACACATTGTTGTGCATTGAGAGTGTCTTTTACTGTGGTGTTCACTGACCCAGTGCAGCAACTGCTGCATAACTATTGCATCATTGTTACTCATATGTATTTATAGTTTGCAATATGAAAGAATAAAAAACACCCTCTGGAGCCCACTCTGAGCATTTCATAATACATAAATCAGGTGTAGATAAGAGATGAAAGATCCAGATCCCTAGACTCGATAATTCCACCTGTAGATATCTGAAACACACTCTCCATATTTCATAATATATGCACGCACTGAATAACATATTAAAGTGCCCATATCATGAGAAGCCAAATTTCCTCCTATTTTTTAAATAATGTAGTTTGAAGTAACATGTAATCATTGTTAAAAGCTTAGGATGTATATTATATGGCCAAAAGTTTGTAGACACCTGATCACCCAATGTTTCTTCTGAATTCAATAATATTAATAGGGAGTTTGTTCCTAATTTGTAGCAGTATCAGCCTCTACACTTCTGGGAAGGCTTTACACTAGATGCTGGAGCATTGGTGTGAGGATTTGATTGCATTTAGACTCAACAATGTTAAAGAGGTCAGGATCACAAACAGTCCAACTCATCCCAAAGGTATTGAATGGAGCTCCATCAATCCAGAGAACACAGTTCCATTGCCCGATGCTGTTGGCCTTTATGCCCCTCTAGCTGACATTTGGTTTAGGCACAGTGATCTTAGGCTTATGTGTGGCTACACTAGAGTGTTCCAATCTATTGGTAATGCTTTTCTATGGACATTATACAAGTGGTATGTGTATAAATGAATGTTAGTATCAGCAATGGGTGCACCCTAAACTAGCTGAATTCACTTATACAAAGGGATGTCAAAATACTTTTGGACAAATACTGTACCACTCACTACCCAGTCCATATATGGAAACTATTGTTTCCGTGATGTCACAAGAACCAAGTAATTTACATATATCCAACAATTTAGCTCTGGAGAGTTTTAGCTCTGAGTGCTTTTCCAATGAGTCATGATACAGGACAGCCAATCAGAACAGAGCTCATTTATCTTATATCAGTCTTAAAGTCACAGTAACAAAAACAGCCTGTTTAATTCTAAAAGATAAAGAGAGTTTGAAAAAGGGTTATGTAAAAATGAATTATGACTATTTTTGTGGTCTTCAAGGGGAGTGGACATTGAGTGGACATGTGACATTGCATTGATATAAGGGGCCTTAAACTAAAGTAACAAACATTTGTTCCTTTTGTAACACTGTTATGAAACATCATAAAGCAGAGGCCTAGTTAAGAAGCCCGTATATTATTCTATGGAACATTTTTATGCTCTTGAGCTTAAGTAATCATTTCCAAACATATCTTCCTATATGTTTAAATATACATCCTGTACTTATAAAAGTACAAATTGTATTTGTATTTCCATTTCAGTAAAAACTTTTAAATGTACTTAAGCATCAAAAGTAAATTACCGTGAGCGATTACAGTTATTATGCTTTATTATTCTGGTGAATAATAACAATAATAATAACAATAATAACGAGATCTGTTTAGGGGTGCTGCGCAGCTGCTGACATGAAAAACAGAGTTAGTTTTTCATATCTGCAGCTATACAATTCTCCTAATGGAAAATGTATTTTTGTACTTGAACTCAATTACAAATATATAGAACTGATAAGTGGTTTTTAACTAGGCGTCTGCCTTACAAGTTCCAGTACTTTAGGAGTGATGGGGAATGATGCTTCATAGAAGTGTTTTAAATGGGACAAATGTCTGCCTCTTCAGTTAAAGGCTTCTTAGGTCAATAAAGTGCTTTCAATCATATAACTTCTTATGTCATCTTGCAAATGCTGATACAAGCCATTCATAAATACTCAAGTTGTGCCTTATAAATGGTATTTAGTGCGTTTGCATGTGTCCCTGTAGTACCCAATATTGCAATAATTTTATACTTATGTAATAACACACATGTAACCAGAAATGTAATAATAAATTGCATGCAACTTGGTCAAAAATGTAATAATACCTATTATACAACAGTTAGTTCCAGCCACACAAGCTGACTGGTTGAGAAGCATTCTAACTGTGCTGTTATTTTGCCATAATACAGGTTTTTCCACAAACACTGTATCACTCCGCTGAGATGCCTTTGACTTTGACAGCTGTAGGAGACACTCAAGCCATTTGAATGTTTTTACTTCTTACTCTTGCGCACAAACAGAAAATGCATACTTTGAAGATTACATTTGACCTACAGTCGAGGTCTTATCGCGAATAACATCACGGCTGTGATGATCTACGAACAAATCACAGCTGTGAGGGGATAACACACTCCCTCTCGTGTTCTATTGCTTAAATAATGTAATAACTTACTCAGTAATGTGACGCAGAGACTAAACTGATAATGCAATCATTTTTATAATGATATATACAATCATTATAATACAATATATTATATACAATATCTTATTACATTATAGGGAATTTATTACATTTCCATGTTGATCACAGGTAATATATTATTACATTACTGAAAATATATTATATTTAGAATCTTTTTTTTTTTTCAGATAGCTGATATAACACTTTGTCTGATAATGTAATGCCATGTTAATTATTAGTCAATATTCTATATTTTGCTGAATTCACAAAAGCATTGTAGAAGACCTTTGGCAACATCTCTTAAAAGTATGACATCATCCATTTTGAAAAAAAATAAATTAAGTGCATTACGTGCAAATATTATTACATTTCTGGGTGATCCTACATATTGGGAAACTATTGCAATACTGGGTTTTACAGTCCTGATTAAAGGAATGTTACATAGATGAGAAATGAAATATGGAAAGCCTATGGATATGTCTATGATGTATACTTCAGTTCCTCAGTTTAAGGGTTTAGACAGTAGAAGTGTTAATCTGTCCATGTGTATCTACATCAAGCTCAATTATATCACATCATGAAAAGAATATATGACAGTACATACATTATTGATACGTTATGTGCTCACCTACTAGGAAAAAAGACCCACATCCCTCCTAATTCAGACATAGAGAATGGTGATATATAAAGATTAGTGTAGTTTGTCATTAGCTATGCTCTTAACTAAAGATAAGACAGATATAGAGCATGAATATCAGAGAATATTTCAGTGCTTCAAAAACCCATGTGTACTCAGAACTCAAAATAAACTAAAAATTTGTCTTAGAACAGCAGCAATAAATTTGCTCTATTATATTATTCTCTCTCTCTCTCTATCCTTTAAACAAGAAATCCTAATTTTTCCCGAGGCAGTGTATGTTCATATCAACACATTCACAACAACACATTCAGGATAGGAAAGGACCACTGCACAGAGACTTGATCCAGTACATAACATCCATTTTTAAAAGCCAATTGTTGATATATTTGGATAGCTGCCTTCTGTGTTTTGTTTCAGCTGATAGAAGCCCTCCAAACCACTATTGACATTTGATTCAATCATATGTGCTGTGGTGCATGCTTTTGGGTTACAATACCTGAGGTAAACAAACAAACAAAAAGAAAATCAAACCCAGAATAACAAGCCCAAAAAACCTATGACTCAAGTTGCCATGCATTGACCCATGTTTCCTACCCTTTAAAAAGATACAGCTTGTGGGAGAAATGGGGACACAACACATTTTTTCCTCACATTGACAAGACATTTACCTCTTGTAGCCCGCAGTGGAAATGGATTTTAGGAGGCGACGGATCATACCTCACATTCTCTGGAGCCGGAGATGGTATAGGTGCAGGGTCCTGTCCCATTGACTAGTACGTCCATGGTTTCAGAGTTTGTGGGTTTGTAGTCCACATAATACTCCTGTAGTGGTGAGCTAAGGGTTCGCTCTGTCTCCCGTGCCTTTTTCCGGCGCTTTCTCACCATGGAGTGCTGCTGTAGCTGCTTCATGCTACTTGGGTAACGCTTCCAGGAGACATAGATCACAAGCAAGATCATGGCCACTGATAAGAAGAGAGCCACACTGCCTGCTATGATCTTATGAAAGGACACATGTTCATAGTCCTGCTCGGGAACAGGTGGGGAAGCAACAGTAGGAGAGGGGACAATAGGGGTGTTACGGGTACTCTCCTTGTCCACCCTGGACATTGTGGGAACTAGCACACGTCCAGGTTTTGATGGGGAAATGAGAGTAGTGGAGACCAGAAGATATGGAGTTGGGGTAGCCTTGCAGATTCCGAACGTGTCCATAGCATCCATAACTTTCTCACCCTGAACCCCCTTGGGTCCAGCACAAATCATGGTTGCCTCCTTGTTCCCCTTGAAGTTCCTCAGCCAGGCAACAAGAGGGCAGAGGCTGAGACTGCAGTCCCAAATGTTTCCTGCTAGACTGATAGTAGTCAGAGAGATCCAGGCTGCAACGGCCTCCTGAGACACGTTGCTAAGCTTGTTGGAGTCAAGGTTAAGGGTCTGCAAATTAGGGAGACACTGGAAAATGCTGGCATCCAACACCTGCAGGTCATTTCCAGAGAGGTCAAGCTTTTGCAAAGAGGTCCAGGTCCATGTAATTCCCTGTGTTATAGATTTTATCCGGTTCCACTGCAAATAGAGAGCTCGAAGGTTGTTTAGACGAGGGAAATGAGAGAAATTGATCTTTGAGAATTGGTTGTGCTCCAAATGTAACTCAGTCAGCTTAAGCAGTCCTGCGAATGCATTGCGGGTGAGACTCCTCAGTCGATTGTAGCCCAGGTCAAGGAATTCAAGATTTCTGCAATCCTGGAACACTCGCATGGGAACTACCTTAAGAGAATTTGATCTTATGTGGAGACTTAGCAACTTGCGCAATCCTTGAAACTGGTTAGGCTGTAGCACCTGCAGCTTGTTGTAAGAGAGGTCCAAGTTACGTAGGTTTGGAATCGTATGGAACGTACTGTTTTCCAGCTGTGTGATCTTATTTGAGCTGAGGATCAGCTCCTTTAATCTGCGCACACCCTGGAAGGCTTGACTGTCCACCGCATTGATGTAGTTGTGGTCCAGGTACAGCCACACAAGTTGACTGAGGCTGGCAAACTGACCAGCCCTGAGGCTAACCAAGCTGTTGTAGCGCAGAGAGAGGCCCTGGCATCCCATGGATACATTCTTTGGCACATCGCGAAAGGCATTTGACTCACAGTAGACTATTTTGCCATCACAGCGGCAGCTCCGGGGGCACGGGCGCTCTCGGACTCTGCTGGGGGAAGCAATGAGCCAGGCCTGCACCAGCAAGGGGATCATGAGCCAGCGGCCTCGCGCCAGGGACCCTGCAGACACAGAGGGGTGAGAAGGAAACATCTAGGCTTTGGTCAATACTGAAACTGCAGAGGCAAATATGTGAACCTGAATCCCAGCATTCAGCCAATTGCCAACATGACTTGTTACTTTCTTTCTTTACACTTATCAGTATAAGTGGTTCATACTGCGAGAATGTGCATAAAATGCCATAAAAGAGTTAATTTTGTTTAAGAGTGATGGACCTTTTTCTGTTTTAAGGACCTCCTCATAATGCACGTTCTATACCAATTAAAGGTTTTTTTTTCAAGAACTCTACATCCAAGCCAAAAAACCCTTTAATTTTTAGAGAGCATAGTTGTTCATAAACCAGCAGGATACCCTATATGCTGCATAAATAGGTGATTTACTAATATTTATTCTTAAAGTAGAATTGAACTTTAAATGCTGAATGTCATTTACTCTATTCAGTTCCTCTGTTAATATCCATACTGCACCTTGTTTAGTTGAAACATTACACAGCAATTTTGAAAAAAACAATGACCAGCTGCTCTGTTTCTCTGTTCTGTATCTATGATTGATGGAAAACTAAACAAGGTAATAGACATTTATTTAAACAAAGCAGGAAACATTTCTCTGGTCAATCTCAAATCCCTCAACGACTGTTCCATATAGTGCAACACTTACAGAACCACAGCACTAATCAACATTCCCCCAAGGATTAGTAAGAGTGGATAGATAGAAGAGAATTGGTCTATATTTACTGTCATACTTGTCCTTCTGTGCAATACAAGAACAAATTTGGTGGTCTTTCTTCATTATTTGCAGACTACATGAACAAGAACATTATCTATTACACAGGGGAACAAACAATCATTGTTTAATGGTGCTCACAAAAAATCCTTCAACCTCCAGTAGTGCAAACTATGCCCAAAAATGAATCAAAATGAATATAACAGTGGTATCTGCATTTCTTTAGGCTTATTTTGCTGCTTACAGCAAAAAATGCTTTGCTAAATACAGTCACACTAATATAATTGCCCTAAAGTAAGCCCACAGTCGCTGAAACTTTGTTTCCAACCATGCAAAACTGTGCTGAATCACTTTTCCAACCATAATTATTGCACTGTATTTATACAATTCTACAGACGCATGTACAAAAGTAAGCAACTTATTGATTTAATCAGGCAGTCCCAGCATTCTGCAGCAGACTCAAGATTTAATCTAAAACTTTTGTGTAGGTCTACTGAATGAAACAGACTAATCTATTAGTCTCTGAAATAGGCCAGGGGTTGGCAGAACAACCTGTTATCTTTAGGACAGTCAATTCAGTTTGTCTTTACAATTTATCTCTGAATTCAATTAAAAAGACGATATTCATTTAACTCATTCATTCATTTGAAAACAGTGCCTAATCTTTCACTCTTTTAATGAGAGTTAATAGATGTTACTGGAAAATATGAGGACAATATAAAGTCCAAAGTCTGCCATAACAATTTTGGACACAGTTCTCTGTCTTTTTGCGCCTCCTCCTTTATCACTGTGAGATGTATGATATACTGTTCAGACAGAAAATGAGGGTCGTCTAGGCCAATTATTTGAATTGAGAGGAGAGCCCATAATACTTCCTTTTTACATAATAGAAAGGTCGATTGTAAAGTATTTATTAAATATTGTAGTGTCCGGTTACTGGCACTAAGAGACTCTGGAGGCATTGCAATGCAGATGGCCACAAGCAAAGGCTAATGGAATATGTACGCCCTCAAACAAAGGGACTGTTTATGTTGTTGTCTGTTAGTTTAAGCTGTACATGTTGTTTGTGTTATTTAGTATTGGGGGCTGTGGGTTTTGTGTGTAAGGGGGAGTCACTGTCTGGGTGAAGAGGTGACCTCCCCTGCGTGTTCAAGGCTCTGCATGTGCCCTTTCTGCCAGTGTGTTAAAGAAAGAGCACTTCTCACAGTAGAGTATTGGCCTCTCCTGTGTTCCTTCATCTGCCAACACTACAGTATGTTTTATCAGACACTGTATACAAACACGCATATCTTTTTGTCCTCTGACAAGACAATCAGATCCATCTGAGAGTTTGTGTCCAAATTCCAAAAATTTCTGTTGTTTATTTCCAGGTTTAAATGAAAAAAATCTATGTGGTCTCAGACTTTTGGACCCCATTGTATATTCACTGTGCTTTTGTGACGTTGATGCTGTATTTTATTTTTGGTGAGGCATGCTATATAAGATTTATATGAGGCAGTTCAGGTTTTTGTATTTTATACCTCAGTTGCACTGTTTTAGAAGATCATTATTTTGCACAAGGAGTTATTTCTTTGCAAAATATATTAATTGTTGATAAATGCATTTTTACATATAAAATACTGAAGATCTTGACCTCAGAATCAAAAACTGTATCATGTTTGAAAATATAAGTATCATTAAACCCTCATAGTGTAGATGATATATCTGCCACTACTGTTATAAACGAATAAACTCTTTTTATATAATTTGGAAATTCCAGCTACATTTTTACATTATATGTAAATTTCAGGATGAAACAGACCAATAGATATACTGTAAAACTGACATCTGAGCAAGTGAAAACATCTTAAATGAAGTCAATATATCGAACATTTGTCATATATCTTTATTTAAATTTACTTAATATTCAGATTACCTATTTCTATACATTTTTACTTATTTTAAGTAATTAAAAACAAAGTGTCATTCTATTTCATAATACTTTTTTAACAAGAAAAAATACTTGAAACTATTAAGAAAAATAATCTTATAATATGTTTACAACAATATCATAATCAAAAATATTAGATATATCAACTACATTTAAGATGCTTCCACTTGGTAAGATATCTTTTTGTTCTGGAAATGGTCTGAAATAGCTTGGAATAAAGTAATTTTTTACATTATCTTACATTAAAACTTTAGAATGTTTTTCTTCTTCTGTAAAGGTATGAGGATTTGTCTAACAGTGACAACATTTTTTGTTGGTTTCACTGTTTTGCAGAATTTCAAAACCACAGACACTTGTCTTAGTGCAGAATAAGACCTTAAGAGTGTCCTACATACCACTTGGGAGGTGTTTGGTGAAGCATAATTTGGAATAATAAAGGGGGACATACTCTCAGTTCCCCCTCCTGTGGTGTTCCCAACTATACAAACCACCTCAGGCAAGATCACACCAAGTTATGCAAATGTACAAAGAGCAAAAGAGGAACATCTGTATAAGCTATTAGGGTTTGCATGCTAATACCACAACTGCATCGCTAGGGCTGAATAATAATAATAAGTTTAATGGGAGAATAAAACACACCTGAAATCTTCCCCAGCCAGCCGTTCTCTATGAATACATGATGCGGTATGATTTATTTCACATGTGACATGAGCAGCTATCTCCACCCTGCTCCTCCTAATTTATTACCATAAGATAACAGCAGCAGAGAGCATGAGTAAAATAGCCAAACTAACAAAATAAGGCATTAGAAAGGCCCAAGCCATAGTTTCTACATGCCAAGTAACTTCCCTGAAAATGAGCCACTTGTTATATTGCTTTACTCTTTATTTCCTCCTGAATTTCAAGAAAATGATATGTTAATCTAGTGCTGGGTGATATTGATCAAATTCAGTATCGCAATAGTATCCATACATATCACAGTATAATTGTAGATCATATTTATACTGTTGCTTGAGTTCTTCCGATGAAAAACCATATATTAACCATCCTTTTTTGATTATCAGTGATTTTGTTTTCAATTTTATTTTGTAAAGAACCAAACTGTACTTCATTTATGTTTTATAGAGCCCTTTATATTAAATACAAGCCTTCCTTGGATCCTGGTGTATATTAAGGATATGATGATATCAATATGTTGTTTAAAAAATAAATAAATAAATAAATAAATATATATATATATATATATATATATATATATATATATATATATACACTCACAAAAATATATAATGTTTAAAATATTTAAAAATATACAAATATTTAATTATTGCAAAGACAGTGGGATTCAAAAAGCAAGTCCATATGAAAATGCTGCTATTTTGCATTCCCTTATATGTTTTTTAATGCAAATTATAATATCAGCATCACAATTCGAATTAAAAGTTTTTAAAGTATTTTTAGGAATTTCAGAATTTCTTTATAGTTAATATGTCCCCCTTTAGCTTTAATGACAGTGTGCACTCAAGCTGGCATGGACTCTTTTCAAAGTGAGGTTGAAGATTTGGATTTGTCATTAGTTTCATTTAGCAAAAACTTTTTTTTTTAAGGAAATGTGTCCCAAGGTCTGATGTCTAACATTAAGAATTATCACTACAGAAATTCATATTTTCTGCAATTAAGTAAACTTTTTTTGTGTTTTAATGAACAATACTGTGATATTATGTGTGCACAACTGTTCAAAGCTGTGCTTGCTACTCATGTACTGCTGGCATTTTTGAGTTCTGCTCAAAATTAGCTAAAATCCTCACTGCTAAATCAGTCACTCATTTTAACACATAAAGCTCTCAGTCTCAGAATCAAAAATCGTATCGAGTCTGAAAATATGAGTATCGTTACGCCCTCATGATGTAGATGAGCCCAGTAATAGCTTGTCTCCTGTGCTATCCTAGCTTTACATAGAGTGTTACTGAATGAGGGACTAACTTTGCATCTCTAATCTCATTTGTGATTTGTTGGAATGTGGGTGGGGAACAGTGTAATCTCTACCCTACAGTGCTAATCTGACACAAAGATAATTTGACACAAAACTGAACAGCTCTGCAACAGTCTCATCACATTTAAACAGACGTTCAAATGCAGCATTGCAAAAAGAAATGACTTCACTTTTTATTACACATGCCATCACGCTCAATGATATTTCCATTCCCCACGTTCTAATTTCCCCAGACAGAACTGGCCACATGTAAGCACAAGTTTCCTCAGTTTAGGCAATCAAACTCAAGAAACAGATATGGCTCCTGCCTCTGTCCCCTTCTCCTGACAGCTTTTCTGTCTCCTGCTCCAATTATCTCTTTTGACACTCAGTCCACTCTATTACATG